GTAGGATCTCTGTCCTTAATGTGCTGTACATTGAGATTTAATGCTCTAACGAGTACTCAAATAGTATTTTTCACTTTGTGTTTCTATGTGGGTGCAAACTGTTGAAATCTTTACTTGATGTATACTAAACTGATCTTCTGTATATAAAGAGAATCGAAAATGAATCTTGATGTGAATGGAAGGGGAGAGAGAGCGGGAAAGGGGAGGGTTGCGGGTGGGAGGGAAGTCATTGCGGGGGGGAAGCCAATGTAATCCATAAGCTGTACTTTGGAAATCTATATTCATTAAATAAAAGTTACAAAAAAAGAAATGGGACCTAAGTGTTATTTTAGTATAGATGAAGTAGACACACAAACATGGATCATGGATGTACCAGAGGGCACACACGCGTACACTCCAATACAAGGTGAATTATAACTGAGATTTAAAAGTTGTTCCATACTGGGGCCAGCGCTGTGGTGCAGTGGGTTATCGTCCTAGCCTGGAATGCTGGCATCTCATATGGGTGCCGGTTCCAGTCCCGGCTGCTCCTCTTCCAATCCAGCTCTCTGCTATGGCCTGGGAAAGCAGTAGAAGATGGACCAAGTCCTTGGGCATCTGCACCCATGTGGGAAACTTGGAGGAAGCTCCTGGCTCCTGGCTTCGGATAGGTGCACCTCCAGTCGTTGCGGCAATCTGGGTAGTGAGCCAGTGGATGAAGGACCTCTCTCTGTCTCTACTTCTCTCTATAATGCTTTCAAATAAATAAAATAAATCTTTTTTAAAAAAGTTGTTGCATAGACAGTATTTAGTGAGGACACAATAATCAAGGAATGCTTCCCAGAAGACATGATAACTAAAATTACTGTTTATAGAAATCCTACTCTAGGCTAGGCCATAACTTCTAGGCCTTGCCTTACATGTATATCCTGTTCTGATTAAGAAAATTGAGGTCCAGAGTTATCATGGAACCTGACCATAGTCATATAGCTGGTAAATGGCAGAATTGAGATTTCCCAGCCAAGTTGGCCTGTTTTCAAAGACTGTCTTTTCTTCTTTATGGCCCAAGGCTATAGTTGAGCTGAGCCAGCAAAAGGATGGTGTAGTTGAAGAGGAAAAAGGAGATAGCTGGACAACTACTTTAATTCAGGAGGTTCACCTTTTTTTCCCATATCTTCAAATTCAATGCTTCCTGAAATGGTGGTATGTATGTGGTCAGAATTCACAGATTGTGGGTGAGCAGCACAGAAAATGGCCCAAATCTTTTGAGACCAAATAACCTGAGGTCACTGTGGCTCCATGCCTACTTTCGTCATCTCAGCCCACATAGACACATAAAATAGACACATAGACACACAAATATGCATTGATGTACACAAAGACATACATAAACAAGCATGGAAACACATATATACACTCAAGCAGAATGTACAAGATAACATGCATGTAAGCATATAAAACTCATTTAAACATACAGATGTAGCATACATACACAGAGAAACATACATATAAAAATCAACCTAATGATAAACTAAAAAAATAAGCACATGAGCTTAAAATCAAACATTAGGAAGCCTCACATACTAAAGACCAAAACAGTGGGAGAAACTCACATGTGCAATGGAAGTTAGAAGTTGTAGTAAACCCCATGGACTTCAGGGGTCTAGGAGGATTTCCCAGCAGAGCTAGAATATGGGCTGGGATCTGATATTTGTTTATCATTGGATAGGTAAAAAGATGGGAAATGAATTCCAAGTACATGGCAGAAAAAGAGCCAAAGCCCGGAGGCAGTCAAGGGCAAAAATAATTCTAGTGAAGACAAAATTAGTTGGACTGTACCTTGATGTATAGGTACAAAGGTAGAGAAAGAAAAATCTTGGCCAGATTATGGAGAGTCTTGAAAGCTAGGCCAAAATGCCTTGATTCATAGGCTTTTATGAGAACTCCAGGTTTAAGGCTGGAATAGGACTCTATCCCTGCTGAAATCAGGCTTTGCTTTTTATTTTTATTTTATTTTTTGAACCAAATATGTTAGCAAAATACCAGTGGAATAGAGTGAGGAAATTGGAAGTAGGAAAATGAGAGATTAACTAGACTATTGGCAGCATGACACAATGCAAAGAGCATTGGAATGGGCTTTAGGAGGCCTGGATTCACCCTCCTCTCTAGGCCTCAGTATTCCCATCTAAATCTTAAAGTTGCCATATTCATATGTGAATTTTTCAAGCTATATTCTGGGGACCCCCAGGTATCCTGTAGTGGATAACGAGGGAATATGGAAAGGGAGGTTTAGGTGACAGGATTTCAACCAATAGTGTGCTGGAGTCAACTTAAATTCTGAAAGTTGATTGTGAAAATTTCTTCCCAACTCCATGTTTAGTAACATAACATCAGTAGCTTGAAATCAGCCATTGTTCAAATACCACAGGGCAGACTTGTTTTTTTCTTCAGATGCTGATTCTTTATTTTTGAGTTCAGTCATTTATTTTTGGACTGTATCTACTGGTTTAATAGCCAAAAGCTGGGGTTGTGCCAGGCTGAAGCCCATCTAGTTCTTTAACATGAGTTGTAGGAATCCAAGTACTTGGGTCATCATCTGACACCTCCCAGGGTTCACATTAGCAGGAATCTGGATCTGAAATAGAGATAGGATACAAACTCAGGTACTCTGACATGCAATGCAGTCATCCCAAATGACAGCTGAATCTTCTGTGCCACAATGCCTATTACGAGAGCTATCTTTTAAACTCTACCACAACACTACTGGTTTGAATTCACTTTAACCAGAATTAGTGATTTTTGTGCAACAACTACTGGGATTACAGAATGTCATTTGCCTTAAAGGTATTTATTATATGAGCGGTTTGAAAATCACAGGGCTAGCTCACCCGACCCTGTTAGAGCCCAGGCATGAGACTAGAATCATAATAGATAATAAACAAATGTACACTATGTACTTCAGGGGTTTCTTTAAATAATTATGTATTTCTTTATTTTAAAGACAGAGAGACAAATGGGGGAAGACAGAAAGAGAGATTTTTATCTGTTGGTTCACTTTGTAAGAGCCCACAATAGCTGGGGCTGGACCAGACTAAAGTCAAGAGCCTGGAATTCAGGGATCCAAGTACTTGTTGCCTCTCATGGTATGCATTAGCAGGAAGCTGGAATCTGAAGTAGAGCTGAGATTCAAATCCAAGTACTCTATACGGGATGTGGGCATCCCAAACAGTGCCTTAACAAATGTGCCAAACACTTTGTTCCCCTTAAATGTTTCTGACACAATTCTGAGTACTGGAGGTTTACCAGGAAGAAAACAGACATAGAGCTTACATTCTAGTGGAAATAGATAGATATTATTAAGCAAATGACCAAATATGATAAGGAAAATTAACAATTGTATAACCATATCTGGACCCCCAATATGTCTAATGTTAATCCCAAGAACCTGTGACTATGTTAGGTTCCGTAGCAAAAGGGAATTAAATTTGTAGATGGAATTAAGAATGTTAGCCAGCTTCCTTAATCTAGGAAGATTATCACGGACTATCCAGATGGATATCCAAATGTAATCGCAAGGGTTCTTAAATGTAATCTTAAGAAGGAGGCAAAAGAATCAGAGTTAGAGCAAGATGTGACTATTATGAAAGAAAGGTACCAAGGGAAATGAAATCAGCAAATAAGAGATATCTGCACCCCCATGTTTACTGCAGCTCAATTTACAATAGCTAAGACATGGAATCAACCTAAATGCCTGTCAACTGAAGACTGGATAAAGAAATTATGGGATATTTACTCTATGGGCTACTACACAGTGGTTAAAAAAATGAAATCTAATAATTTGCAACCAAATGGATGAATCTGGAAAACATCATACTTAGTGAAATAAGCCAGTCCCAAAGGGACAAATGCCGTATGTTCTTCCTGATCTGCGATAACTAATAGAGCACCTGAAAGGAAATCTGTAGAAGTGAAATTGACACTTTGAGAAGTGATGACTTGAAGAACCCCTGTCTTGACTATTGAGGAACAGTTTTTTTTTCTTAATAGAGAATGGGACTGGGAATGGGAGAAGGAGGAGGAGGTGGGGTGGAAGGCCGGGTATGATGGTAAGAATCACTATATTCCTAAAGTTGTGCTTATGAAATTTGTACTCATTAAAACAACAGTTTCTTTGGGGAAAAAAAGAAGAAGAAATGAAAATAAAAGATGATAATGGCCCTTTGTCAAGAGGAATCAACTCAGAAAAAAAGAAAGAAAGGTACACATATATGTAATATCACTGGCTTCAACGATGGTAGAAGAACATTTGACAAGAAATGCTGGTAGCCTCTAGAAGTTTGGAAGGGTAACGAAGCTGATCCTACTTCTAGAGCCTCCACAAAAGATTGCAACCCTGTTGACATTTGGATTCAGCTCAATAAAATCATAGCAGATTTCTGGCCTATATTTGAAAGATAGCAAACTTGTGTTGTTTCAAGCTGCAGCTTGAAACTGGTGGATGAGATGACAAAAGGAATGCAGGGTCTTGCAGATCAGTTAAAGAAATTTAATTTTTACTGTGACACAAGGAATGATTGCAGGGATCTTAACAGAGAGGTGACATGATCTTATCTGTGTTTTAAGTGAATTTCCCTGGTTTATTTATGGCAGGACACAGAGGGGGTAAGGGTTGAAGTAGAGAAATCAGTTTGGATGCTATTGTAACAAATGACTACAGACGGTCCCTGAAAATGTTTTGATTTTGCAATGGTACAAAAGCAGTAAGAATTCAGTAGAAGCCATTTGGAATTTGATCTTTCCCTGGGCTAGGCTAATGATATGTTGTGATGCTAAGCAGTGTCAGCCATGCCATCACAAAGGTATAGTATAATCAGTATTCTACACTGAACTGTGCTGTTAAGCTAAGATGTTTGGTAGGTTAGGTGAAGTAAATGCATTTATGACTTACCATATTTTTAATTTACGATAAATTTATTGGCATGTAACCATCTTTTAGTTGAGGAGTATATGTAAATGCAGAATAGTGGCAGTGAAATCAGAATTGAAAGAATAGATGTCAGGCACTGAAGAAGTGCCTAGGATTTCACTACGAATCATGACTAAGTGGAAAGCTTAAAGATTGCTCATGTTGTAGGTTTTGTATGCCTGGGCAACAGTAAAGCCATGAGCTCAGGAAGTACTAAAGGTGATGGCCTATTTTTGCAGAAGAAAATTGGGTACTAGCCATATGGAAATATGATGATGGGACTCTTGCATTGAGATGATCTCCTAGGAAGAAGATGATATGACTAGAGCTCAAAAGATAGAGGGAGAGCATTGATAATCACTTAGAGACACGTGATAGATAAACTAAGGGAACTGGCCATATACCTGAGTAAGGAAAAATAGAGAAAGGAATTGAGAATAAAGGATGGAGAACTAAGAATTCTTGTGGGGCACCCAACTTCCTCCTTTGCACACCAATTCAGATTCATACTGAGAATAACAAAAGTTCAGAGTTTAGAGGACCCTTTGAAACCATAACAGGTTCTATTTTTGCCTTAGTTGTGCAGAAGGAAATAAAACACTGAAAGAATATAATTTGTTCAAAGATACATAACATAGTGAAGGTCAGTGGCAAAGGCAGGACTAGAACCCAGACTACCCTTAACTACATTACAGTGCTACTCATGCTGTTATATCCCCTAATTCTGCAGGTTCTACCTAATCACATTCAGAAATTTGAGAGATGCTACCTTTAGATTTGGCAGAGTGAAGCTGCTTTTCTCTTTTTCTAGGGTCTCAGTTTCTCACCCTGAATTATAATGCTAATAGAATTGATTTAGTCTATTAGCAAAACCAAAAATATGCTTGAAACTCAAAACCAGATCCACTGGTTACATGAATGCACACATAATGTGAAATAAACAAAAGGCTAAACAAGTATATACCATCAGCCTCTTTTGTTATGTTTTGACTGAACAGTAAGAACCAATATTTTTGGAGCTCTGGCTTTCAAAATGATTAGAGAAACAAGAAAGCAAGACAGTTGTGACTGTGACTGGGTAGGTGTTGTACACACACACTGCCTGAATTTCATGATTTTCCTACTCCCACTCAATCTGTTCACTAACTTGGAGAGTTGAGCCAATGACGCTGATATCCCGAAATTCAGGAAGATTCCTGACATGCTAGGTCTGCCAGAATTTCTCCTGGATCCCCATGAATGGATTTTCAACTTGATTCCAAAAAATGTCACCAAAAGACTTGAGTACTTATTATGTGTGACAGGCTCTGTTAGGCTCCACACATGAGTGTTATCATTTATTCCTTCATAAAATATGTGGAAGATACTAATTTTATTCAAATTTTATAGACAAAGAGTGTAAGGGCTCCACAACTATAGATAGCTTTCCTGACACTTGATGGTTATTTCAAAGCAGAGCTGGAATTTGAACCTACTCAGTCTACAGTTTAGAGACCATGTTCTGACTACCACTACCACTACCAATACTGGCTATTATACTTTGAGTTTCATCTCTAATTCTGGGCCCAGTTTAAGGCCTGGTATATCCCAAGTAGTTACTATCTATTAGGTTTAGCCGAATTGAATATGGAGGGTGCTATACAGGACATTTAAAGTACTATAAAATCACAGGGGAATGAAGAGTTAAATGCTCCAGAGGACCATGAAAGAAAGGCTTTTGAGGAGGAAGTGGTGAGATTTGAAATATAGTTTGAGGACTGAGTAGGTCTCCTATAGGAAAAAATTAGGGACGAATGAAAGCACTAATGAAAGCTGAATTTTAGGGTAAAGTAGAACAACTTTTGCGTGGATAAATGACTTCTAAAGATGCTAAAGCACCTCCAGCTTTGACCAATCTGCTACACTTCAGCTTCCACATTTGAGAAGTTGTTTTTGCCTCAGGACAGAATTTGACCTATGCTATACTCAAATCCATGAAATTGCGAGCTATGTAAAATGTTTTCTACTGTATTAAGCAAAAGATGCATTTCATGAGCACATACCACCTTGAAGAATTTCAAGAAACTGTCTATGCCTTGCCTCTATTGGTAGATGAAAATAAATAAGCCAAAATGACCATGTTCTTTAAAAACCAGACAAATTATTATAGAATCAGAAAGTAGCTGTTGCTTAGCTCTGGGAAATAGGACAAACACAGGAAATGACTGCTAATTGATTCTTCTTTTTGGGGTTGTGAAAATGTCATAAAATCGATTGTTGCTGAATCTAAATATTATTTTTTAAAGATTTTATTTTTATTTATTTGAAAGGCAGAGTTACAGAGAGGAGAGGGAGAGAGAAAGAGAGAGAGAGAGAGAGGAGAGAAAGAGAATGAATCTTCCATCTGCTGGTTCATTCCCCAAATGGCCGCAATGGACAGGGCTGGGCCAGGCCAAAGCCAGAAGCCAGGAGCTTCTTCCAGGTCTCCCATGTGGGTGCAAGGGCCCAAGGACTTGGGCCATGTTCCATTCCTTTCTCAGGTACCTTAACAGGGAGATGGATTGGAAGTGGAGCAGCCGGGACTGGAAGCAGTGGCTATATGGCATGCCATGCCACAATGCCCTGGATCTAAGTATTCTAAGAAGCATTGAACTGTATACTTTAAAGAAGTAGATTTTATTGTCTGTAAATGATGTCTTGATGAAGGTATTAAAGTCATTACAGTTTCAGAGGGAATTTTAATGGTCTAGGAAAAGAATGATAAATAATAAATCAGAATATGAAAGTTTAAAAAGACATATTCCCAGTTAGGCTAAATATATAATGGGCTTCCAGATAATGTTTATTGGTCTAATTTTTAAAATAATTTTCATGCATCGTTTCTGAAATCAGAAAAAATGGCAAGGTAAGGAAAAGATTGATAGTCCATATTCAGATAATGGTTTAATGACTTTGTCAGAGAGCAAGCAAGGTCCACATGAATTGTCTAAAATCTCCCTATGAGGAGCAGAATATCTGGTAACACACAAAGGAACTCCCTAAATGGGGAAAGCCTTGGATGGCTGTTCTTAAATGGATTTAGTTCTGACTTCCTTAAGAGTCAATTTTAGTAATATGATCTTATATTAAGAATTACATAGCTCAAGATACAGAAATTTCATGTTCCAGACATGTTAAAAACTGATCTTTCAAAAATGTTAATGGAAACATAAGCATTTTTAAGTATATTATCCTAAATCTTCCAGTTGTTATCATTGCTTTATTTTAGATGAAACAGAGGCTCTAAAGTTGTGTAACTTGTCTAAGGTCACACACAGTAGAGTCAGGAGGCTTTGTGTGCTTCCAAATTCATGCTCTTTCTATACTGTTCAATACTACTCAGATTAATTCAAGTGGAGAGTGAGTAAACTTCCCCTGGTGCATCCCCTTAGTTTCTGGCATAGCTGTAGCCTTTCACACACCCAGACTGTTTGTTTGCTTTCAGGGAGTACAAACTGGAAGTGGTATCCCATTTCCTGGGTGAGCCAAGAGTAACTATGTGTCCTGCTAGGTCATGGGCTTTCACTGACCACAGAGATTGAGAACCCTTGAGCAAACCAAATTTTCATATGTCACTGGTTTGGGAGTAAAGCAGAAGTTACAAAAGCTGACAAAGCCCAGCTGGAGCAAGGATGTTGAAATAGACACAAAAAACATAATTAATATAAATGTTCTAAACTTCTGCTCATCTGTGTATACTTCCTGCTACCTTATACCTAACTTTGAAGACACTAAATATTTTTCATTTCTGTTTTGTCATTTCTTTCAGGTGCCTCATTTTTCTGCTTTCCTTAGAATCTTTACAGTCAAGTTTCTCATTGAGTCTTTGTAGCTCACATATGGAATATTATAAGCTTCTCATGAACCTATACACATCAAGTTTATGTTTAGATTTAATCTCACTCTTTTTTGATAATCTTCTAAATAGAATTCCAACCACTTCACTATTTCCTAATAATTTGGCTTTATTATCTAAGGCCTGAAGCCTGAACTTAAATATCCCAGACATTCTAGTACAGAGATAGGTAATAGTATAGGACATAAATATAATTTATTGTTAATTTCTATTGTCTACTTAGAATGTAAGCTCCATGGGGGGGATGAGTTTTGTGTATTTTGTTTACTAGTATGTTACAAGTGCCTTCATTCATGCTTGGAACCTATTGGGGTTCAATAAACATTTATTGAATGGGTGAATGAATGAACATTCTGAGATCCTGTAGTTCATTTTCTTCCTTGTAGTGCTCACACAGTAACAAAATTCGCCTGTTAGATCTTAGAGGTCATATATGCCAAGGAATAAGACTGTATGATTTTTCTTGAAAGACCTTTCTGATTACTAAAACAGCCCACTTGGAGGGAGTGTATTCTTTTGTTCATGTTTTCATACATTCATTAGCTGAGTGTCTACTCTGGGCCTGAACCTGTGTTGGTGCTGCAAATACAAAATTGAGTAAAATATTCCTGCTTTAGGGAGCTCTAAAATCCAGAGTAGACACACAACAACTATCTAGACTTCTAGTCTGTATATAATAAGTGGAATGTAATATATATTAAGTTATACAAGAGTAGAAAGAGATCATCTTCATTCTATGATTAGAAAAGAAAATTCCAGTATAGGATATACTTTCTGTATCAGCTTAAGCATATTCAAGTCTTAGCAGAGAACAATTAGGTGTTGTTTGGCATAGCTTTCAAGATTTATAGACTGTTTGCAGAAACGATCCCTGTCCCTAATCCTCCCTCTTCTCCCTCTTCTAATCTGTTCTGCTCTAGAATATATAATCCCAGTTCCATAAGCTTTGCTTCAGAAGTTGTGGTCTCATGATCTCGAGTCATTTCCTGAGATGACTTACTAGGCTTTCTTCTTTATTAAAGACTTATTTTATTTATTTGAAAGACAGAGTTAGAGAGAGAGAGAGGAAGAGAAAGAGAGAATTCTTTTTTTTAAATTTTATTTATTTTTTAATTTTATTTTTTTGACAGGCAGAGTGGACAGTGATAGAGAGAGACAGAGAGAAAGGTCTTCCTTTGCCATTGGTTCACCTTCCAATGGCCGCCGTGGCTGGCACACTGCGCTGATCCGAAGCCAGGAGCCAGGTGCTTCTCCTGGTCTCCCATGGGGTGCAGGGCCCAAGCACTTGGGCCATCCTCCACTGCACTCCCTGGCCACAGCAGAGAGCTGGCCTGGAAGAGGGGCAACCGGGACAGAATCCGGCGCCCTGACCGGGACTAGAACCCGGTGTGCAAGGCGGAGGATTAGCCTAGTGAGCCGCGGCGCCGGCGAGAAAGAGAGAATTCTTTCATCTGTTGGTTCACTCTCCAAATGGCCACAATGGCCAGGGCTGGGCTAGGCCCTGGAGCCAGGAGCCAGGAGCTTCTTCTGGATCTCCCACGTGGGTGCAGGAGTCCAGTCACTTGGGCCATCTTCTGCTGCTTTACCAGGTGCATTAGCAGGAAGTGGGATTGGGAAGTGAAGCAGGGATATGGGATGCTAGCATTTCAGGTGGAGGCTCTACTGGCTATACCACAATGCCGGCCCCAGGATTTCTTCTTAAGGACTAAGGATTTCATTTTATTTTGTGATTTTTTTATTTATATAATGATATCCAACTTCATGTACTTAATATATAGTTTTAAAAGCATAATGACATTTTGCATACTACTCTCCCTCCTTTTCTTATTTTTCTTTTAATTTTACAATGACATACTTTCAATTTTCTCTATAATCCCAAGCTTAACTCTCCAATAAATACAGAATTCAACAAGTAGTAAGTAGAAAAACGACTATTCCTCAAGAGTATAGACAAAGGCTATACACAATCAAATCTCAAAATGTCAATTTCACTCATATACATTCCATTTTTTGTACTCGGTATAATGGCTAATAATTTTAATATGCTGCGATAGTCAATCATATGACTAGGGGTTTGGAAATTCAAGCACTTGCAGAGGGTATGCTGACTGAAATGGAGAAATACTGTTGATGACCTAATAGTGAAATCAGTGTTCCGCTTCCGTGGGGCAGGGAACAATGAATTATGATGGTGTAGCAACAGGGTGGAATTAAGGGATAGAAAGGGAAGACGGAAAGAAACAATCAAAACGAGTTACCAGAACGCCCCGACTTGGCGAGGTTGCTGCTACTTGCACTTCCTTCACTGCCTGGCTCATTGTCACCTAGATGAAGAATGGTAATTTTATAAGTATGCTGTTTTGTAAGGTTGTTTCTGGGTGACACTGCTGAGGATGAGACATGAATAGACATATCTACAGGCTCAGATATCTGTGGCAAAACTGGCTCAGTGGAACTCTAGTGATTCTGAGCCATGTGAGGAGGTGCAATGGGTCCAATAGTACATGTTGTTCTTTCAATATAAATTGATTATCTAGTAACTCAAATGCAGCTTTTGCCCATATTCACTTTGGAAGCTACTGCAAGGAAAAATCTCCTCAATGCCTTACAGTTAATGATACTTCCATCTGGCTCTCTCCTTTTAATTTCTAAAACTAGCTTAAAGTGAGAGCTTTATATCACAGACATGTTTTAAACATGACATTTTCAAGAGCACTTTATTTTTCCAGAGGCTTAATAAACATTTTATAAATTCCAGATACTAGGAAGAAATATGTATTTCTTATGAAACATTTGGGCACACATGTGTGCTGCTCTTAGCTGAAGGAGCTTCAAAGGTTTATGTGGTTCTAACTGCTCTAGAGTAGATTCCCAACTTTATGGGTCCAGTTACTACTAACAAGTCTGATGGTGTCAAATTAAGCAAAGACATAAAGTAGTGTCTCATTCTTGGCTATACTTTACAACCATCTGGAGAACTCTGAAAAGTCCCATTGTCCAGATACTACTTCAAGCAAATTAAAGTCTTTTGGAGTTAGTCTCAGACTCAGTATTTCATAAAGCTCTCCAGCTGATTCTACTGTACAGCAAAGGTTGAGAACCACTGCATTAAAGTAATCACTGTGTAAATCTAAATACCATTGAGTTACTGTTATAAGAGATATAACTAGCGCTGTTTCCAGATATTACCATTTCTCTTTCCTTCCCCTTTTTTGGTACAACATACGTAAGAAATACTAACCCAGGAAATCAAACAATGTACTACCTTTGGTGAGTATATGATCAAAATATAGAGTAAAGAATTCACTATGCATGGGAAGAATTCTTATCATTTGGGAAAGTGCCTAAAGGAGATAAAGGGTAAGAGGAGATCTTGGAAATAGGTAGCAGTTACCAAATCCACTCCTAACCTCCAGGCAGGCCCTGGTATTATTATATAATACTATCCCATATGCAAAGGTGTACCAAATATTAATTTATTCTTTGGTAAGTTTCTTGCTCTAATATTTCCTTCTATGACTTTCTTATTTCATGAAACTCAATGCTAATTAGTATCTGAAAGAGTTATCTGTACCCCCACGTTCACTGCAGCACAATTCATAATAGTTAAGATATGGAATCAACCTAGATGTACATCAACTGTTCACTGTATAAAGAAATTATGGTATATATGCACTATGGAGCACTACTCAGCTGTAAAACAAATGATATCCCCTCTTTTGTAACAAGAGGGATGCAACTGGAAACCATTATACTTAGTGAAATAACCCAGTCCCAAAAAGACAGATATCATATGTTCCCTGACTTGAGGTAACTAATAGAGTACCTAAAATGTGATGTATTGGAGTGAAATGGATATTTTGAAAATTGATTGTTTATAGACACTGTCTCTTCCATTGAGGGACAGTGTTTTTTTTCATACTATTTGTTAAACTTTTTTATTTAGTGTAGGATTAACTATGATCACTAAGTAAACTGAAAATAGATCTATGTAAATGTTAAGAGTGGAAATGAGAGAGTGAAGAGGAAGAAGGGTTCGAGTGTGGGCAGGAGGGAAGGTATGGGGAAGGGAGTATCACTATGTTTCTAAATCTGTATATATGAAATACAGGAAACCTGTATAACCAATAAAATTTAAAAAATCTAAAATCTAAAAAAATCTTTTTCTAGTCAACTTTATTGGAACGTATAGAAGGGATCTGAAAAAATCATGAAATGTCCATTTTGAAAAGAAAACTATGCAAGGCTTTCAAATTTTTACATCAAAATAAACCTATCTTTCAATTAATTCAATTTTCACAAGCTTTTTGAAATATGCTTATATATTATCAAACAAGAAGTAACTGTACTTACCAGTCTGAAATTTAAAAAATTAGATTAGGAAACTCCTGACAATATTCAGACTGAGTCTGCATAATAAGTAGTATGGAAGAAATATAAACAAAATGCTTAAAGAAAAAATTGAATATTGGAAGGTAGAAAAAAGAAAGAATATGAAATTGTTAATAGCATTTCAATCATGAAACAAAGGTAGAATGTCTTTCCCAATCTATAGGTATATTCCAAAATAAAGTGGGATAGCGTCAGGATTCTCAAGACAGATGGAATCACCTCTTGCTTTATTTTAAGCACTTGCCTCATGACTATTGGTTCTAAGTGGAATGCTCCAAACTGAGTATTGCCTTCAGAAATTTCACTGAATATGGAGGCAATTCTTAGTCCTAAGATTTCATAATTCTGTCCAAGCACTATAAAATGACTCCCTCTACTCAGCAGATAGCTTAACTGATTTTCTATCCATGTACTCATTGAACAAACATGTATTGAGGGACTACCATGTACTGGGCATTGATGATACAAGGAAAGTACTAGATAAAATTCCTACTTTTGGAACTTACAGTCTAGTTAAGAAGAATGAACAAGAAATAAGTAAACAAAGAGAGATTCAAGAAGGCTGTATACAGTGTTCATCTCTTCCTTCACTGAAAAAAGCCAAAGCAGGTACTCCTAGAGGTGAATGCTCAAAAAAAAAGAGCACCTGATGTCGTAAGAGAATAGTGGGAACACAGTAGGACACTGATAGCTGGCAAAGCAGCATAGAGACAGGAGAAAGATGAACAAAGTCAAACTGAGGGAGTCTGAAGCCCCAGCCTCACAGTCTAGGAGATTCTCTGCTGCAGGGGAAAGGGTGAACAGGGAGTGGCAGAGGAGTCTATCTCTGCAAATCCTTTACCTGGGCACTTGACGTGAGCTGTCTAGGCTATGGAAGACTTTTGAATCCACAAACTAGCTCAGTAGACAAGGCCATAAGCAAAGCAGAAGTTCTCTCCTCCCCTCAGAGAAAAGTTCATCCTCCTTTGATGGCCACTTCTTTCCATCGGATTCTCATCCACAGAAGAACTTCTTGTGGGACACTTTTTGCCACAGTGTTTTGTCTTTCCATGCCTGACATGCTCTCATGGTTTTTCAGCCAGACCATGATGCCTTAAGGGCTGATTCTGAGGTCAGAGTGGATAATATACTTTCAATTTACTTAATAATCACAGGATTAATCCTCCACTAAATAAACAATTCAACAAGTAGAAAGTAGAAATACCACTGTTCGGCAGGAGTATAGATTGGGTCTGAGTTTTCTATACCCAAATCAGCCCAGCAAGCACCTCAGAGAGAGTGGCCCAAGACGGTGTCTTGCTGTTACAGAGCCAAAGTCACTCTCAAAGATCCAGCCATGGAGCCGGTGCTGTGGTGTAGCAGGTAAAGGCACTACCTGCAGTGCCGGTATCCCATATGGGCGCCAGTTCGAGTCCTGGCTGCTCCACTTCAGATCCAGCTCTCTGCTATGGGAAAGCAGTGGAAGATGGCCCAAGACTTGGAAGAAGCTCCTGGCTCTTTGCTTCGGATCGGCGCAGCTCCAGCCATTGTGGCTATCTGGGGAGTGAACCAGCGGATGGAAGACCTCTTTCACTCTCTGCCTCTGCCTCTATGTAACTATGCATTTCAAATAAATAAAAAATAAATCTTAAAAAAAAGATCCAGCCACTTTCTCAGACAGCATCTGTCTTGCCTCCTCCATCCAGCATCAATGTGACTGGATGGAACTCTGGATTTGGGCAGCAGCTACGGGGCTGTAAAACTGCCAGGTTCCTGGAGCCAGCACTGATCTTAAAACTTCAGTGACTGACATGGATACTGGCTGGGAGTCTATGTGCCAAGCACACTCATGACACCAGAAAGGCCTGCTCCCCATAGCTAAGAAACACTTAACACCAGCACCACCTTGCTAGATGGCTAGGGAGTTGCATAACACGGACTTCTGTGACTGCACTGAGCCACAGGAACAGCCCGGATCCCTACTACTGCTATTATCAACTCTTGCAAATAAAGGCACAGGGAGACTATACTACAGAATCTAACAGGAACTGAAGTTAAAACAATTGACCAAACAAATACCCAGAGTCATACCTATAGGAAAAGGCCTTCAATCAACAAACCATCCTCTGAAAGTCATAGAAACAACTGATCCCCCCAGATGAACACACACACACACACACACACACACTCAATGAAATAATATCACGTATCTTTTCTGATCATACAGGAATGAAGCTAGAAATTAACAACAGAAGTAGTTCTAGAAATTACAGTAATATATGGAGACTGAACAACATGTTCATGAATGAACAGTGGGTCATAGAAGAAACCAAAAAGGAAATTAAAAAATTCCTTTAAACTATTGAAAACACAACATATCAAAACCTGTGGCATGGGGCCGGCACCATGGCGCAGTGGGTTAATCCTCCGCCTGCGGCGCCGGCATCCCATATGGGCGCTGGTTCTAGTCTGGCTGCTCCTCTTCTGATCCAGCTCTTTGCTGTGGCCTGGGAAAGCCGTAGATGGCCAAAGTGCTTGGGCCCCTGCACCCGCGTGGGAGACCAGGAAGAAGCACCTGGCTCCTGGCTTAGGATCAGCACAGCTCCAACCATTGCGGCCATTTGGGGAGTGAACTAACGGAGGGAAGACCTTTCTCTCTGTCTCTCCCTCTCATTGTAACTCTAACTCTTAAATAAGTAAATAAAAAATCTTTTAAAAAAACCTGTGGCATACAGAAAAAAGCAGTATTAAGAAGTAAATTTATAGCAATAAATCCCTATATCAAAAAAGGGAAAAGTATGAAGTTAATAATCTCACTGCATCTCAAGGACCTAGAAAATCAAGAACAAGCCAAACTCATAATCAGTGGAAGGAAATAAATAGGAAGAAATATACAAAATATAAATTAGAAAAACTTAAAGATCAACAAAATGAAGAGCTGATTTTTGATAAA